GCATGATTTTTTAATTGTGTATTTCTCATTTGGATTTATCTGAGCTCCAGAACTTCATATCAAATATCCAGTGGTTTTATTCCCCTTGGTATGGCATGGATACACACAAACTCAGAATGCAGATAATGGAATTAATCCTCTTCCACACTGTACTAGATCCATTGCATTCTCCTTAAAGAGACTTTCATCAGCAGTATTATACAATTTGTTCCTTCATTTGATAAATACACTAAATAATGACTGGGTAGCAAATAATTTAATAACACATCTGGGAATCATGATTTAGGTTCCCAAGGAGTCAAGTTAAAGGAATCAATACATAAGTCTTCAGAGTTTGTGTTAAAGTTCTTAAATTTTACCCTTGTGTTAAGGAAGTGAGACAAATAAACCATTTTTTCAAGTAACTCCAAATTACTATCAGACTTATAACAGACATCATCCTAAGTGATAACTACTCCAATAATCAAAGGATAAAATTACCTTCATTTTTCTATGCCAATTCAGATTCTATAAACAACAGTTTGCTTAAGAAAATTCTTTCTCATTGTTTTTACTTTGCTATCCATAAAACCATGGTGTTCAGTGTTTAGTTGCAATTCCATGTATCCATTTATTCTACATGTTCATTTAAAATGAGGCCCTTGTCAAATTTTAGTCATAGCACTCTTCCTTGTGGGTATTCAGTCTCCAGGTGATCTGTGAGATTGTCAGGGATTGGGGATGTGTCCTAAACTAGCATCATTTAAAAAAACTTGTTTCTAAGATGTACTGCAATCCATCTGACACTTATTAACAGACTCTAGTGGAACCAAACCTAGAATTTTGCTTTTCTAACTTCAAGTCCATTGTAGAGAAAAGATTGTTTGGTTTTTGAGTACCATGTTTCCTCAAATAGTGGATTTTATAGATAAAAGTGACTCTATAATTTTGTATGGCAATGTTTGGTTAACTTGAAATTTGAAAAGTAATATGTTTAAAACAAATAATAATGGTAAAAGTAAAAGACAACCCTGCAATATATTCCCACCATAATTCAAAACTTCAAACCATTATGCCTATTAGAAGGACTACTATTAAAACCAAAAAGATATAATAAATAAGTGTTGGTGAGAATGTGAAGAAATTGGAACCCTTATGCATTGCTAGTGGAAAATGAAAATAGTACATCCATTCACTGTGGAAAATAATATGGCAATTAATAAAAAATTAAATATGAAATTAATATATGATCTAGCTATTTCCCTTTTGGATACATACATATATAATGAAGTGAAAACAAATAGTATAAAAGATATAGTACACCAATGTTCATGGTAGCATTCTTTGCAATAGCCAAAGGTAGAAAGAACCTGTCCATCTACAGCTCAGTGGACAAAAATGTCACACACACACACACACACACACAGCTTTGAAACAATGAAATTCTGATGCATGCCACAGCACGGCTGAACCCTGAAGATATTTTACTATGTGAAGGAAGTCAGACATAAGAGATAAATATTGTGTGGCACAGTTTACATGAGGTACTAAGAGTAGTCAAATTCAGAGACAGAAAATATCATGGCAGTTAGCTCGGGGCATGGAAGAGTAGGGAATGGACAGTCTGTGTCGAAGATGCAGCATCCTTTTGCAACCTCTGTGTCTGTATTGCTCTTTCCAGGACTTGGGACCACCCCATTTTTCCCAGCTCTGGCAGACACTGTACAGAAGCCACGGATTGGTTCCCTCCTGCCTTCCTCTTCTCTTATCATCAGCATTAGACAGCATCACTCTCTTGCCTTTATTTTTAAGAGAAATCCAAGTATATAATTGACACTCTGATGTTTATGAAATGAAAAGGTTAATGTCCACTTATATTATGGCCCAACACATTATTTATTAATCACTAACTCTTTTCCCCTTTCTAGCAACTCCTCTTACCTGAAATGTTATGGGCATCTCTGTTTTCCATAAAACCTCTGTGATATTCTGAGCAATTGTGATTTTGAGGCAGGCTAGAATTAGGGAAAGTACCAGACTCTTAGAAAATACATGACTTAATATTGTATTTCAGGTTGAATATTCCTCTGTTTCTCTCAGCCTTCTTTTCAATTGCAAATGTGCGTAGGTTATTCACACCCTAGCTCAAGGACAACTCAAACCACCCTCACCTTACCCTGGGACCACCCATGCCCCTCCCTACTCATTGATTATGGTTGGGAATCACTAGGTTCCTCCCTTCTCATAGGTTAGCATAAGTTTTAAAAGCACCTGGAAAAGAGAAACTCTCTGCTTCCAGCTTCCACCTGGGCCCACCATACTCCCTTTTGTATTTCCCTTCCCTAACTTTTAATAAACTCCATCTATACTCACATGTTCTGCCATGGATTCTTTCTTTTTTTTTTTTCTTTTATTATTCATATGTGCATACAAGGCTTGGGTCATTTCACCCCTGCCACCCCTCCCTTACACCCACTTCCGCCCCTCCTTCTTCTCCCACCCTCAATACCGCAGAAAACTATTTTTCCTTATTTTTAATTTTTTGTAGAGCGAGTATAAGCAATAATAGGAAGGAACAAGGGTTTTTGCTGGTTGAGATAAGGATAGCTATACAGGGCATTGACTCCATTGATTTCCTGTGCGTGGGTGTTACCTCTAGGTTAATTCTTTTTGATCTAACCTTTCTCTAGTTCTGTCCCCTTTCCTATTGGCCTCAGTTGCTTTTAAGGTACTGCTTTAGTCTCTTGCGTTAAGGGACAAATGCTAGCTAATTTTTTAGATGTCTTACCTATCCTCGACCCTCTGTGTGCTCTCGCTTTTATCATGTGCTCATAGTCCAATCCCATTGTTGTGTTTGCCCTTGATCTAATGTCACATATGAGGGAGAACATACGATTTTGGTCTTTTGGGCAAGCTAACCTCATCAGAATGATATTCTCAATTCCATCCTTTACCAGCAAATGATAACATTTCGTTCTTCTTCATGGCTGCATAAAATTCCATTATGTATAGATACCACATTTTCTTAATCCATTCGTCAGTGGTGTGGCATCTTGGCTGTTTCCATAACTTGGTGAAAGGAACCCTCTTACACTGTTGGTGGGAATGTAAACTAGTACAATCACTCTGGAAAAAAATTTGGAGGCTACTTAAAAAGCTAGACATCGATCTACCATTTGATCCAGCAATACTACTCTTGGGGATATACCCAAAAGACTGTGACACAGGTTACTCCAGAGGCACCTGCATACCCATGTTTATTGCGGCACTATTCACAATAGCCATGGAATCTTTCATGTGGGACAAAGAATTTGGAAATCTGACCAGAGATGACACCATTGCCATTAACAATTTCACACTCAGTATCCATGACCAGTACGGTGAAGTTCCATAACAGGATTGCAAACTTTAATTTGCCAATGTTCTTTTGGAACAAAGAAATCTAAGATATAGTTGTATTCATACATCTGCATGATCCTGTAACAAAAAAATTCCTCACCCAAACCACACTTTTTCACAACCCCATGAAAGGGTCTTCATGCTTTTGGAACATCATCAAGGTTTCTCAGAAATTAGCATATGAAGTGAAAGAAAGAATTAGCTGTGCTCAGTAATATAACCTTATCATTCTTGGCAATCTGAAGCCATTGTGTGTGTGATGTGAGTTTGTGAATTTACTTGAGGAGACTTGTCCACCTGGAAAGGCTTTCTTTCTGGTGGTGTTACTAAGAGGAACTGGGTCACTGGTGAGAGCTCATAGGCTTTTCCAGGTAGTGACAGCAAATTCATATCCCACAAAATCTGCCTTAGCTGACAGGGTTTGAAAGGAATAGGAGGTCTCAGCGGGCCCCAACCTCCTTGTTGGAGAAACCAGTACCAAACATCCCATGTAGATAAGATAAGCAATGCGGCAGGGCTCAGTTAGGGCATATAGAATGTGGGGAATGTGAGTGGGGGGTACAAGCAAGATGTGAAGTACGTGCAAGATGTGAGGTACGCGCAAGATGTGCTCTGCCTGCTTGCCCAATGTTGATAACGAAAATATGCATGCCACCGCAGTCTATATAAGATTTCCCCTAAAGAGGCTCAGGGTCGTGTTTTCCTAACCGGTCCTGCGTGTCCGTGTGGGAGCTCGACCCTGGCTAGCCAGCCCAATAAACTCTGCTTTGTTGATTGCATTCTCGCCTGGCTCTCTGTCTCCCAGGGGAATAGGATTCCGGGTCCTAACAGGTTGTTTAGTTCATGAGTTTCAGATGTGGACATGAATGTGGAAAATCTAGAAACCCTCATTGCAAAATGAACTACCTAAAATTTGGTAATTAAATGCCGAATGTATAAAGATCTAGGCCTAATTAATCCATAGGAACTATAGAATATAGTGTTTCCAGCTGGGTCTTCTTAGATCACTATACTGTTTATTTTTAGGGTTCATGTGATCCAGGCTTGCCTCTTTAATTTTAGCAAAATAACTGCGGGGAAGAAGCATTTATTTTCTTTTTAATCATAATCATAATATTGGCTTATGTAGTTTTTGTTTCAACAAGCCAATAGTGGATTTGAAGCCTAAATCAGCCAGGCTGGGAAAACATAAGGCAGGTGTGTGTGAGAGGAGTGAAGGGTTAGAGGTGCTGCTCTTTATTCAACCAGTCAGGAGCACGTAACTGTGGGCTCTTGACCATTTGGGGGCACTGTGGCTCCACAGAGCTGCGCAGAGCCCTGGAGGGGTTAGAAGGTGGCTCAGGAGAGCAGGGCTGAAGGGTATGTTTGGCTGCCTGCCTTGACCAGGTAGGTGATTTGGGTTTGAGTTCACTGAGCATGTCCTGGAAAATTGGAGTTAAATATAGACTTGTCATGTGTAGGGAAGGGTAGGAGTCCTCAGTGTGCATCAAAGAGGGAGTTATTCATGTGTTGACTGGGTAGTGGGGGGTGAAAGGCTGAGGAGAAAAGGGTAAGGAATCAGGGTCAGGCCAGACCCAGGAGCAGGCAGCTAAAGTGGAAGAAAGTAAGGTGCAATTGGCACATGGGTAGTGTGCTCAACCTGACACACCTGCAGTTTAGGGGTTACGCTGGGTGTGAAAGACCCATGGAATAGAGCCTGGATCTTACCACAGAGTGCAGTGTGCTGGGTGGAGTCATTTCAGAGCATGTCATTTGCACCTATTAAGGAGACTAACACTTCAAAAACTAAGAACACTCACCCCAGGAGGTTCCACAAATTTAATGTGAATCAGGAGATGCCACCTGAATGTCCTGATGCTACCATGGGCACTAGACTGCTCTGCTGGGTGGTCCTTTGTCTTCTGGGAGCAGGTGAGTCCTGGGCACAGCTTGGAAGATTCTGACCTTTGCTTTTCATCTCTGAAATACAAGTCAGCCAGAGAAGGCTGCAGCAGGAGAAGACTAGAGCAGGAGGATTCCTCCTGTGCTCTGGCCTTAGCTTCTATGTATTGACCCACAGATCCAGTGGATTCTGGAGTCACCCAAACTCCAAAACATCTGATCAAAGTCAAAGGACAGCAAGTGACACTGAGATGCACTCCTATGTCTGGACACCTCTCTGTGACTTGGTACCAGCAGACCCTGGGTCAGGGGCCCCAGTTCCTCTTTGAATATTACAATGGGGAGCAGAGAGATAGAGGAAAAGTCTCTGATCGATTCTCAGCACAACAGTTCAACAACTACAACTCTGAACTCCATCTGAAGTCCTTGGAGCTGGGGGATTCAGCACTGTTTCTGTGTGCCAGCAGCATGGCACAGCCTGGCATGATCATCAGCTTTCTGCACAAAAATATTCCTGCCCCTGTTCAGGAGGGCAAGGCTGCCAGACTTGCCCATGCCCTGGGAAGGTGACAGGCCTTTCCCAGATACTTCTTGCTTTTGCATCTGTAATCTGTTTAATGCTCATTGAATTCACGCAAGGTGTCATTTACCTGTGCATATACCCGAGGGAAAGCAGTTTTCCTGGGCCTCATATTCAATAACTGACTGAGGTCTCTTTTTCTAGAACCTGTTATCCCCATCTCACTTCACTCTGCAGATAATCTCCCTTCCTCTTTCCAGATCTTAATTTGTAGAATGAGGTCATGCATTATATGTGATTATTTGAAAATCATCCCTGAGAAGTCTAAAGAACATAGGCTATTAAGGCGAAGTGTATCATGGGTCATTCATTGTGACAAAATAGAAGACATGATTTCCTGCACTCTAGACATCTTGCCATGGTATAAATTAGGCCATGTGATCTCCTTCATGGAGACAATATGAGCAGTGAGGTTTCCTAGCTGTGGAGCAAAGGGAAAGGGATGATTGCTAGGGAAAATGCAGGTGTCCTGTGCATGGTATTTAACCACGAGGGAAAAGAGCTTTCCTGAGCCTCACATTCAATAACTGACTGAGGTCTTTTCCTCTAAACCCTGGTATCCTCATCTGTTATCCAGTAGTTTAATTTATTTTTTCATTCCACAAACATTTTGGATCCTCTACTGTGTTACTGTTCATAGAAGATAGAAAATGGTAAATGATTAAAATAAAGAAAGGAGGAAAATAGAAAAAAGTGAATAATGTGAATTTTGTGGGCTTATCCAAATTAGATTCCTGAATTATAAAATTTTCTTCCTTATTCTTTTTATTCTCGTTGGCTAGCTACCCCTTTTGGCAACTTTCATTTTTTAAAACTGTGGCAAGAACTGATATATACCTTCTTTTTTTAAAAAAATTTTCATGGTTCTGTGGTTTGGACTCAGGGTTTTGCACTTGCTAAGCAGGTGCTCTACCACTTGAGCCACACTCCCACAATCCCAGCCCTTTTTTGTTCCAGCAATTTTTCAGTAGGTACCTGCATCATTTTGTCTCATGTGGGACTCAGATCACAATACCCCTTCCTTCACTTTTTACATAGCTGGGATTATGTAGCATGAACCACCGTACTAGTCTATTAATTGAGATGGCTTTCAATAACATTTTGTCTAGGCTCAACTCAAACACTGGTTCTCCAGATCTCTACCTTCCAAGTATGTAGGATTGCAGGCATGAGAGTAGTCACTCACTGGGTATACCCAGGGAGATACACCATGCTATTAAAATTCATTATTTTAATGCAAAATAATGAGTTTCATGATGGCATTTTCATACATGTAATAAATGATCATATTTACTCTTTATTCTCCTCTCTTGTTTAAGAAGCAAATGCTATTGTTTGCATTTTACAGAGGAGAGAATGGCTCTATATGTTAAATAACTTGACTAAATCATGTAGTTACTGGAGGCAGAACTGTGACTCAAGCACTGGTCCAATCCCCTGTTTATAACTCTGTGCTGCGATGCATTTTCATAAAAGATAGCTGTCATTAAAATGAGAAGGTTGCCACTTTCATCCCTCTCAGACCTGCTGACACTACGAAATCACTAATAGAAAATGGTTTGCTCAGGAGGTAGGAATGTAGTCCAGGTATATGTGGACTTTCTGCATAGTCCACATATACCTGGCTTTGATTCCCACTGCAACACTAGCTTGTCAAGATTGAGACCAGATTCTTGACATGTCAGCTGAGTTTTTTCTTTTTAATCTATGAAATGAGGAGAACAATACTTGTATTGGTCAGAGTTCTTCAGAAAAATGGAACATAATTTATCTATCTATCTATCTATCATCCATCTGCCTACCTTCCTTCATTATAAGGAATTAGCTAATGCAGTAAAGGAGGTTGGTAAACACCAAGTGGGCAGGGTGGCCTTGTAGTACTAGAGAGCCAGGGAGATCTGGGGTTCAAGTTGAAGGCTATCAGCTGGGCAGTTCTCTCTTACATGGGAGAGAATTGGTCTTCTGGCTCTAGTTACACTTCAACTGACCAGATGAAACCCTCTCATGTTATGGATGGCAATCTGCTTTACTCTACTGGTTAACATGTTAGTTATCTGATGTTACTGTCTACTGAAGCAAATGTTAATCTCATCTAAAAACACTCTCACAGAAACACCATGAATAATGTCTGACAAATTTACCTGGACATTCATGGCTCAGTGAAGTTGACACATAAAATTAACCATCACACCATCTTCAGAAATATATTAAATTTTAATAATCATGAAATACTTAACACATAGTAGGAATCGGATATATTCCTTTTACTAATCACAGAGAGCCTCTTTCATCATTCTCTATTTGCAAAGGCAAATCATATGTGGAACTCTCATAGTTGAAGAATCAAAAATCACAGAAATGGAAATATTCCATCTTCTGATATATTTCTGAAATTCTCCATATTCTGATGATTTATTATAAGAAATTAACTAGAGAATGTATCATATATGTTTAATCAGACATTTGAGAATCAACTTTATTGACATATAAATAATATGTAATAAACATTATGCATTTTAAATAAACAGGTCAATGATTTTTAAGCAATATACATGTATATCATCATGTGATCTTCACACCTATTAAGATATACGACATTTTCATGACTGAGAAATTTCCCTCATAAACCTTTGCAATGCCTCTCTCCATCCTTGATAATCAATGACAAGATTTTTATTGCTACAGAGTAGTTTTGCTTTTAGTAGGAATTTAAAATTGTGATACTTTAAAACATTTCCTCTTTAGTACATTGCAAACTATTTAAAAGCTCAAGGTGCCCCTGGAAAATCTTATGGTTTCGGGAGTATTTGAAACCAAGTGAGCTATTTGATCACATTTGAACAATACTATATGGAGATGCATAGTGTGGTAAAATAAGCAGCAAAGCTTTATCCAGCTGGAAGTGGCTGATTGTACAAGATTGATTTATTCATTTCATTCATTCATTCATTCATTCACTCACTTAGTCATCTATTTATTCATGATATTTTGACAAAAATTAATCATTTCCAAGGAAATTATTTTGAGGCAACATGTGGCTAGTCTTTGTGTTCCCATGTGTATGTGCTAGGGTGAAGCAAACCATGCAATAGTGACTTTATTGATACACGGTGCCATATTGGGAGACAGGGGCTCTTTGCCTTCATGAGTATCCAACCCATAAAACATGAACCTTGTCTTGGGTGCCAGGTTCCTGTGTTGTGTGTCTCTCTCTCCTCTAGACCAGAGGAATTTTGGGCATAGATGTGGGATCACTAACGGGCCTATGGGACCCCAGATCCACAGCTTCAGTTGTGGTTATAGCACAGGACTCCCTGTTGTCTCCAACATCCATTTCTCTTTCTCGCCTAAGCCCCATAGACACTGAATGACCTATGCTTGCGCTAAAAGGAGGCCATCACATGGGGGAGTGGGCATATTGTAAAACACAAAATCTGGTCTTAGCCCAAATCAAGGAAGAATGGCTCTGAGTAGCTATGAAGGTGTTCTCAACACATTTTGCAGGTGTCTCATCTGTCAGTGACTCCACAGGAAACAGTAAAATAATTCCTCATGATGAGCTTCCCCTTGCGATTTGATTATTGGATACCACAAAGAATTTTGTAGACCAAGGACTTTAACAACATTGTGGTCAGTTAAGCAAATTAGGAAAGGATTTGTGAAGGAGAGTTAAAGCCACCCAGAAGCCGTAATGATTTCCTTAAGATTCTAAGCTACAGAGCTGTTTGGATAACTACAACTCATGTATTGATGAGGAACAATCATCAATGATTGTTGAACATCACAGAACAATATAAAAACTGTTTCACAAAAAGACCAAGAAGAACTTGGATCTACGTGGACTTTGCATTCCAGTATAATATTTTCACTTCTGCATTTATTTTGGATTTGACACCTTGGGGAAGGGGTGTGGCCTCTCCTGGTGACAGGAAGTCTCTGGGGCCCAGAAAAGGAGACTGAGGACTCAGAATAACACACCACAGAGCTCTGTTCCCCTTTCTCCAACACAGAGGGGCCATTATGAGCCTTACCTTCCTGTGTTGTGTGGCCATTTGTCTCCTGTTGGCAGGTGAATAGTGAACAGGTCCCAACATGGAATTTCAAGGTCCAGTGCCATGGGGACTCCAGCATTGCTTTGTCTTCTTCTCTACAGGTACAGCAGATGCAGATATCACTCAGACCCCTAAATCTCAGGTTCTGAAGACAGGAAAGCACGTGAAGATAGAATGTTTGCAGGATATGAACCATAACAACATGTTCTGGTATCGACAGGATCCAGGACTGGGACTGAGGCTGCTCTACTATTCATATGGTGTGAGAAGCACTGAGAAAGGAGAAGTCCCTGATGGGTACAATGTCACCAGACCATGCACAGAGGACTTCCTCCTCACTCTGGAGTCAGCCACCCCTTCCCAGACATCTGTGTACTTCTGTGCTAGCAGTTTATCCACAGTGTTGCATGGTGGCTTCCTCTTTGCACATAAAGACAAGGGAGTAACAACCCAGTACCTGGAACTCAGTGACACCTTGGGCAGATTTTTTAATCACTGGGAACCTTGGAGCTCTGAACACTTGCAGCAGTATGACCTAAGTCTGTGCTGAGGGGCATCTGCCAAGCATCTCAGCCAAATCTGGACCTGACTGTGGGCTCAGATGTCACCAGTGTTGTTTCCTGGTCTTTCCTATGGGCTGTCCCATTGGGATGGGGATGGTGCTCCTCCAATTCTGCTTTCTTACTCATTGGCTTGAGTCTAGGCCTTCCAGGATGGACCACAGTATATATTTTGGATTTGCCTAAATTCTGTTTCTTCCTAGCACTAAATGGCCTGTTCTATCATGGGTTATTCCTGTAGTCCCTGCCTCATGTGGTCTCTACTGGTGTCTGCCTTTCCTATATGGACCATGATCTGCAAGGTCACATTGGAACATTCCTCTTCCTAACTCCCTGAATATCTCTACTATAGCCTTTTCCAAGCCTGGTTCTTACTAT